AGAATGTATATATGAAATTGATTTACCTAAATAATTTTTTTAAAAAAAATATAGTCTCTTATTCTTGTTTTCCTGGTAATAACCACCCTGGACTAAGATAGTGCTTGGCCCCAATCATTTCAGGCCGGAAAGGTTAATGCAATTTGAGGCTCAATGAAGTCCCTTTGGAGAGAATTCTGGGCCTCCTCCGGTCCAGGAGGATGAGTCAGTGCTATCATCTTCCCTACCCCGAGACAGAGCTCTCCCCCCCAACCCGCCCGCCCCCAGGAGGAGAGAGCCACGGGCACAGGCATCCTGCACGCATTGCCAGGCTCTGCCCCCCAACCTCCTCTCTCTGGCAACTCCAAAGGCATGACTTCATTGCAGGCAGGAGATGCAGCCACCGGGAAAGCAGGGGAAGGGACGGGCTGCATTAAGGGGCCGAAGGGCAACACTCCAACTGCAGTGCTGAAAAAGGAAAGAGCAAGAAAACGGGCAGGAGGGAGAGCAGGATCTGGCTGGACAGGGGCTGCGAAAGGAAAGGAAAAGGTTCCCCCACCCACCCACCCCCCAAAAAAGAAATCTGACTTGGGATCTACGCTTTGGCAGTGGGAGAGTGACACCCCTGGCCGTTATCCACTCATCCTTCACGCCGCCTCTTAAACCTGAGCGGGACCACTGAGGCACGGCACAAATCTACAAGCTACCTGGATGAGCTGTTTTTTTTTTTTTAACACATGCACACTTCCCTGCAGATTTGTTGTGTCGTTTGTGTACATTTACCCCACTACAGCTCTTGAAAGAGGCAATTAATCTTCAGAGGGGGCTAAAATTGGGGTACCAGAAGGAGGTACAAGAGAAAGAGGGATCGTGGGCTTTTTTTAAACCACTTGGTTAACCACTTAAAGACTAGAAAGATTAATTGTAGTAGTGTGTGTGTGTTAGCACACTGCGAGAAGAATGTGACTGTTTCCGATTAGGTGGATTCATAAAACGAGTTCAATCAATCGTTAGGTTCAAGATACTCTGCGAACTGCTTGCCCCCAATAAGTGTGGAGTTATTTTGGAGCTTAGAGTCAGAGGTCTGATTATTTTTGGCCACTGGCTTATAATCACACAGCTACTTCTACCGGGTTACTAACTGGCTGAAAGGGAAGACTTCTCGGTTTACTTCCTAGAATTGATCCAAAGCAACCTTTACCCAACTCTGCTCGGCCTGCCTCTCCCTGAAACCCCCCTGCTGCTGCTCCGTTCCTGTCCTTTTGCGACNACCTAACAACTGCAGGGATTCACTTAGCAAATGTGGCGAGAAAGTTGATAAAGCGGAGCACAAATTCACTTAGCAACAGTCTCGCTTAGCAAAAGAAATTTTGGAGTCACTTGTGGTCATAAGTCAAGGTGTCAGGCCTGCAGCCATATTTTCTTTTGGATCTTTGGCCTGCAACACTTTCTATTATTCTGCTATGCATTTTCTATGGTGGGAAAATGGGAGAGGGGATTGTACGGAGTTAGATGCTATGTAGCCATAACAACATTCTTTCTAGAGGAACTTTACTGAATTCTACTGTATAGTGCAATATGAACGCAATATCAGGGCTTTTCAATTCAATGGTAAAGAAGGTGAAGGATGATGTGTGTTTTTATTTATTATGCCTAATGTACACTGAAGATGGCATTTAATTCCGTTGTACGAGGGGCAATGGCAATAAAGTAAACTTTAAAAAAACAACAACAACCAGAAGCTTAGGACTTACGCTTGGCATACACATCTCGACAAGATACGCCGGTGATCTCCAACTTCCGCAGGTTCTCGCAGACGCCATATTCTGAAATTCAAGGGAGGGGAAAAAGTGTCACCGAGGATTAAGTTGTGCTCCGATGCCATTCCACCTGCTTTCCAAAGGAACCCTGTGTTCCAATGGAGCCTCCTGACCTCCACTTAAAGCCCGTGTAAGTTTTAACCTTGGACCAGCCCCACGGAGACAGCCTCCAACACCACTGTTGTGTACCTCCTGTTTGCCATTCCAGTTTACTTTTCACGCTGAGGCCACTTTAATCTCCACTTCCGTACTCACAAGCCAACCTCACAATTTAGGTATTTCCCCAGGAGAAAAGCCAACGGGGAAGGCTCATCCCTTGGAAGGCTCCTGCCAGTGAAGAAAACCTCCTACAATTTCAAAAGCTTGTCCTAGGAATCCATGATAACAATCAGGAAACACTCTCGAAAAGCTGTTATGATGTTACAAGAAAGAAAAAAAGCACCCTCTGGTCCATCAGATATAATGCAAGGAAGAGAAAGATGAAAGTGGAGGAGGAGGAGGAGATTAAAAAACAACCTCTCCCAGCTGCAAATTCACCAGAGGGATTAATTATTTAGGATGCTCTAAAAAGTGAATGCAGAGGGAAATATATATATAACTTTGGGCCTTTTTCTCACATTTCGCAATCTAGATGCGGAACGTGGAACCTCAGGTCCCAGCAACAAAGGATGAATATTCATAAGGAGAAATATCCCAAGATTTATTGACTGTATAAGCTCTGGAAATTCTCTACTAATATTTACTGGCATGAACTGGAGTGGCTTATCTTGCTGTCACTTTCGCAGGAAGTGGGCGAGGCAGCAAACAAGACAACTCGAAGCTGGGAGGAAGAGGAGGAGGAGGGAAGAGGAGATAGCTGTTAAAGAGTAAAGACAGACCTCTTCATCTGACAGCCTAAATTAAAGCTTGCGTTTGGGGGAATAAAACAGCTAAACCTCACCAAATCCTGTACCAGTACTCTGCACATGGGCTGAGATCATATTCCCCATGATATTTCCCAGGCAGTGTTGTTGGGGTGGGTGGGAAGCATGTGCCAATGTCCTTGCACAAAGGAGAAAGCAGATTGCTGGGTTGCAGCCTGAAACAATACTGGCTGCTCTCCTCAAACACCTCCACCACCCCCCCCCCAAAAAAAAACTTTCTAAAGGCAACGTGATATTGCACATTAGTTATTTGTCTGTTTCTGGTTCCCTGGGACGCTTTTAACATTCAGATTGGTAGAAAGACCCGGGGGGCTTCCCAGCGGTTACCAAAGGCAAAGATCAGGCTGGCTAACATTGAGAAAGAAAATAAGAGGGTTCATCCAAATAATAAAAGCAGGAGGGTAATTTGCTAATTCAGTCCATGCAGCAGTCATGGGCTTCTATTTATAGCCCCATTGCAACCTCTGGGCCCACAAAGTCATATGAGAGAGAGAGAGAGAGAGAGAGAGAGAGAAAAGGCTATTTATTCCGAAGACTAAAGGCGAAATCTATTGGGGTTGACAACGGCACAGAGATCGTAGCACACAAACCAAGAAATCTGGAGCCGGTTGGCAAAAATGGCGCCGCCGTGACTGGTAGCCAGCCTGTGTTGGATGAATCTCAATTACCTGCCAATTACCTCCAATAGACCGATCAGATCCCACAGANAGCCAGCATTCGCTGGCTGGGGAATTCTGGGAGTTGAAGTCCGGACATCTTCAAGTGGCCAAGGTTGAGAAACACTGATATAGAATCTGATGCATGTTCAATTAGGAGTAAGTTCTTCTGTCTTTGCCCATATTCAGTGGGGTTCCTTTTTCCTCTGAAAATGCAATTCCGAGCACTTTTGCTTCGGGATTCAATTCCACTAACTCAATGGGATTTATTTCTGAGGAAGTCATATACATAACGGATGGCTTGTTGATAGGCTGAATCTTGCTTGTTTTATTTATTGATTTATAAAATTTATATGCCGCCCAATCCCGAAGTTTACAAAAAAGAGAGAGAGAGAGAGAAAAAAGACACATAATGAACACATAACAACAACAACAAAAAAGACGTTTCATGAGCCAAACTAGCTAACATCATCAGTGCTCGTGACAGTTAGCACTGACTAACACTGATGGTGTTACCCAGTTTGGGTCTGCAAGAAACGTCTGCAAGAAAACAAGCGTGTTCAGAGAGCACCAAAGACCCCCCCCCACCTCATGTCAACCCTGAGCTACGAATATTGTCTTTTATTAATGTACAGGTTGAATCTCATGACGTCACCGCCAAGGCAGGCAGCCAAGGAGCCTTGTGGGAATGACTCATCATTGCTCTGACTCAATGCATTTTTAAAAATCGATCGTCATTAAAGATTCACCAGAGTCTGTCACATTGCTGCCACGAAGAAAGAGCCATTGCTATCGGCTTATTATAGCATCTGCAATACAGGACTCTCAATGTTTCAGGTTTAGCCACAATGAAATCCGAAAGATCACAATTAAAACCTTGCTTGATGTCACCTGCACGCTTTGGTTTTCAGGGATGGTCCAAAATTTTGTGGGGGGTCAAATGCTTCCTCCTCACCTGCCCCCCCTCCCCGACGGAAACGTACACCAAAGCAGTCAAGTGATTTTTAGGATGTGAAGTCAGACAATGCTGCAATCTTTTCTTCCCATCACTGGGAAATTAAGCTGTGCGAAGAGCTATGGGCTCTCAACTTTCAAAGGTGAAACTTGGTGGAATGTAATGCTAACATCACAGATGTTTTCCATATTCTCTTTGAAAGCTCAGTATCTTCCATCTTATACTAACTATCCTTAAAAGAATATTTTCCAATGCTTCACGCCTGAATTCTTCTTAAACCAGGCTTTCAAATAGTTATTTCAATTAATTTATTTAAACCATTTCTATAGCTGCCCATCTTATAACCAATGCTGGACAGCTGCCAATCAAACCCTCCTCCTAAAATTCATACCAGTTGATGTCAAACATGTAAAAATGTGCCTTTTAGCCCTAATAGATGCTGAAGGCGGGGAAAGGAATTCAGTTTATAGAGTGCATTTGATATGTAATAATAGATTATCCGATAGGGACAGGAAAGATGGCGCTAAGCCCCAACAAACCAGCTATTTCATGGTTTAACGCAACACTTGCTCCAGGCTTCCTAGTTCAAAAGCAGCTAAATTTGACAGAGGTGTGATTCATTGCAGGTGGTGGACGTAGGCATCCAGGGCAATTTACAATCATCTCACGTGTGTGATGTGCCATATACATGACACCGCTTATTAGCAATTGCAGTTCTTGCATACGTCTGTCAAAGTCATCTTCCTTATTGTGCACACTCACTCACACACCCATTCTCTTCCTGCCAGATGAATATGCCCTTCAGTAGAAACCGGGTCAAACAGCATCACATAAAGAATGCCTAATGTTGGATACATGGGAAAGAATATGGGTAACAAATGTGAAATTTACACAAGCTCAAAACTTGAGAGAAAATTTTTATAAGATGTT